TGTATCGATCTCTCGCGATCTCTATCTACCGTTCATTTAAATGCCATTCCATTCGCTAAAAAGGATAAGCCTTTCCCCCATTTTTACTCTTTAATGACTTTTCCTCATCATTCAAATGCTACCCCATTCACAGTCATTCTCTCTCTCTCTCTCTCTCTCTCTCTCTCTCTCTCTCTCATCTCTTTTATACTCCTTTGTCGTCATTCACAGTCATTCCATTCGCTCTTAATTTCAAAGCAAGTCTTCAAACAATCCTTTGATTCACATTTATAGAGGAATTGGAAATTTTTTATACACTCTTTTAGCGCAATCTTAGCTTTTCTTTCGTCGTTTTCATTTTGACGAATAAATATTTTTTTACCACTTATTTCTCTCTCTCTCTCTCTCTCTCTCTCTCTCTCAGCTTTTAATAGTGTTCACAACTGTTTAGTGTAGAATAGAGTTCGGGAGAATGTTATGTCAAATCTCTTAAATAATTTTTTAAGTTTTTGTGCGATTTTTTATTGATTTTATTAACGGAATGATAAGAAAAAATTCATCTGTTGTGACATATTATTGTTAAAATGTAATATTATGTTGTATTATATTTAAGTTATAATATTTTGCATAAAATATTTTCTGATTGACAAACTAATGAATTGGAAGCTCTCTCTCTCTCTCTCTCTCTCTCTCTCTCTCTCTCTCGTGTCAAACAGATTGTTTTAAAATGCATTTTTCTCTTTTCTTTGAATTAACAGTCAAATTGATATATTATTTTGCTTTTTCTTTCATTTCCAATACTTAAATAATATGACTACAAATTAATAAGCATTTGGATTATAGAAAAATTTTGCACTAGAAATGAAATTTCTTATGGATTTTCTGCTTCACTCAAATGTTAAATAATATAAATCAATAAAACATTTTATGAAAAGTTTTGTTAAAATGAAAAGAGAGAGAAAAAAATCAAAAGAACTTATTATAAGTTATAGAAATTGAAAAATAAAAATCTCTTTAAATCTCAAAGCGCTTGTGTTTTGTCGGAAAGCATACTATAAGGGAATTACATTGAAATCATAAATTAATTCTAATTATACCTATGATATCAACTCAAATACAAATATATATTACAATAAAAGTATACAAATTCTCAAAACCATTTCATTAACGATGAAATATATGAAAACATTTGTGTATTTTATAATTTAACAAAATTGTCAGTCATTATGCATATTTCAATCGCATTGAAAAAGTTTCAAAACACAAGAAATATTCACATAAAATATATTTATTCTCTTCCCTCTCTTGTAATATTTGTAATCATATTTTGCAACAATAAATACATTTACAAATACTATACTATAGTTTATTTTAGAAAATTTATTTCTATTACTATTTATAAATCATAATTTTCAAAGTCTGTACAAATCGCTATTAAATGTGAAGGAAAACAAAGTTTTTTATTAGAAAAGTCGTAAAATGTAATTACTCTGAATTATTTTGAATTATTTTATACCATTTTCTTCATTTCATTTAATTTAATATTTTTTCGTTCGCTATCTTTGAATAAATACTAAATAATAATAATCTATAGTTTTCATGAAAATAATGCATTCTTTTATATCTCATACGATGTGATAAAATATTAGGATTTCTTTTTCTCCCAGACTTATAAATAATACTAATGTCAGTCCTATTACTCGTTTTTTATTCATTTTCTGTCTTATAGTTGTTTGTATTGCGAATCAAACGAATAAATAAAGTACTCTTTTGAAGCCAATCTTCACATACAAGTGATCTCTTGTACTGATTCTTGTGGCTAACACTCACAGCCCCACTAACTGTCCCCCACTGTCCCCGACTGTCCCCTCGCACTAATCAAATAGATGTTCACATTTGAACCCATCAATGGCTTATATACACATTTTGTGATCATAAACTCAATTTACTATAAAAGCTATCGATTTAATCGATTCCAGATCTCTATTTAATTAAAAGTTTTATGCTTTTTGTTAAAAAACAATTGTTTAAACATTAATGTGAAAATAAGATGCTTTATAGGTATTGGTGAGAGAAGTTTACAGTTATTTTTGCCAAACAACCAATAGTTTTGTTCATTTCATTTGCAAATTTTAATTAAAACAAAAACTTAATGTTTATTTCAATTTTTATTATTGAATTCCAAACCATCTAATACTGTGTAAGGAATAATATCATTGAATTTAATTTAGCATTCATTATATGTATTGTCGAAAAGTTGTGTTCAGTTTTGCACTGTTTTTGTTATGAAAAGACTGGTAAAAGAGCGATAGTAATAGTAAAACAACAATACATAAGTTAAGTCTATAGCTAATAGAGAATAATATATAATTGTTTAAACTATTGACCATATGTTGTATTACTGTATATCTGGAGCTAATAATAATTACAATCATTAATGTACACTATTTGGCTATAATTCTCTATTTTAATATTGCTTTCTCGCAATACGGTATACAACATATCGCGTAACACAGCCTTTATTGGCAATACAGGGCTCTATTGGTACCAAATTGAACACAAATATAAGTCGAGACAGTTTTATTGAACTTTGATGTTAAGGTAATAAATTGATTGCTCGCCTTTTCTCATGGCATCATTGACTACCAGTGCCAACACTGGCAACACTGCAACTCTGCAACACTGGCAACACTACCAACTGAGCCAACAATAAGCAATTAACGTTTATATGTTGGGCTCTACGCAACTGTTCCATCGATTGACAACCAGTCCTATCGATGCTTATATGTCTTATACCCTCTCTCTAACCATTGATTCAATACTATTTCTATTAACTTTGATATAAATTATCGCAAACCAATTATTGTTAAAAGAGCCTTAAGATCCCCGAATGGCCTCAAATCGCAAACAACACACAAACCATTACTCCTTTACTAAAGTCTTTAAACGAAAATCTATTTCTATTCAATTCTTTGCTTGTTTTCAATGATATTTATTTATATCTATTTATTATTGAACAAAACATGTATTGTATATGAGTTTAGATAGAAATTGTTATTTTCTATTATTTCATTAATTGATATTTTAAAAGTTGTAATAAAATTTTAATAATTATTACTTAAATCGATTGAAAACATATACTAATGATTATTAAGTATAAGTAATAAAACAATTCTAGTATTAAATCAATTATTTATAAACAATATATAAACTAATAATTAGTATAAAAATAGTATGAATTGATTTTTTGTATCATTTCTTTATTTAAAGTTGAGTTCATTTTGAAACAAAATTAATAAATAATCTATTGTTGGGAAAGAGGGAGAGAGTCAGAGAAAGAAAGAAAGAAAGAGAGAAAGAGAGAGAGAAACTCATTTATAGTGAATTTAAAAATAATCAAAGAAAATGGAGACAAGAATTATCTCTTTTTCTAATTTCAAAATTAGTAAAGATTTAAAAAAGAGTCATTAAAATGAGAGATAAATAATTTATTTTGTCTGAAGAAAAATTGAAAAGTTTAACGAAATCTAATTAAGAAAATCAATTTTCATTATAATTTTCTGAAACTCTCAATGAATTGATTTTTAGATAATCAGTATTTTATTATCCTTTGAAATCAGCTTTATATATATGACTTGAAATATACATATATAGCAAAGCAAGTCATATATGAATAGATCGATGCGTTTCTACACTATATTTCAATACTAATTAAATTAATAGAGAAACTGTAATAAATGAAACTTAAAATACTGTATAGTAAATGAAATGTTATTCAAGAATAATTGGAAAATTACAATAAATTTTTTGATAATAAAACGTTAAATTTTTCGAAAAGTTTTAAAAACAATGCCAACAATTATTAGTCAGAAAATGATATTTTTATTGATTTGACATTTAAATAATTAATTGGTTATATTGTATAACGTCTATAACAGTATGCATAACATAATTGCAAAACTAGTTATAGTTGTAACTAATGTCTGATTATTTTCAAATGTATGTGACTCTCAATCATTAGTATTTGAAAAAGTGTTCATTTTATTCGTTAGAAAATACAGTATTTTTATCGAATATATAAATATGTAATCAAATGAATTCATATTAAACATAAAACACTATATTTTAATACATGGCTCACTATTGCTATCTATAATTAATACAAAAAATTCAATTTTAATATTTGATAAAAAGGTTAGTTTTGCAAACAATTCTTCGCATAAAATGATTGATTTTTAATTAAAATTTTTTAAATTAGAATAATTTGCAATACACTGTAATTAAGATAATCCGCTGTCTATTGTTTGCTATATTTGAATAAAATATTTTTTATACATGTATTCTCGTAAATATTATTGAAAATCAAATTGAATTTACATAATATTATTCCGCAAACCTTTTTATCCCATTATTCAAAATCAAAGTCAGGTTCTGTATAAGAGAGGATATATTTCATTAAGTGATGGCTTTCTTTCTTAAAAAATACTATTTTCAAGTTCTTTATTATGTGTTCAGAAATTATTTAAGAATTAACTTATTTTTCAATTCATTGTTTAGTCTTTGAACGAATAGAATAGTTATCTCAATACAAATATTGAGATCTCAAGTGATAGACCAAATGGGAAGACATTTTGCTAATCAGGTTTTGCTTAATTTTGTTATCGATTTTTGGAGTAAACGTTTTTTAAAGTCTGTATATAAGGAATACAGCATTTATTTTAAACACATTTAATGTTATTCGTCACTAGAATTTGTTTTGAAATCATTTTCAGATTTACTCTTAATTTGTAACATTTTAAAAAATCAAATATAAAAATAATTTTAAATTCAATCTTCAAATAGTGTTTATGTATTAATTTAAATACAAATAAACTATAAGTAATGGTTAAGAGTATGTGTTTGTGTGTAATGTGATTGCGATGAAGAAATAGACTCGGAATTGAATGATAAGTAAAGTAAATGACAAGAGATTAGTTTGAAACTCATAATTAGTTATTGAAGACAAGCATCAGATGGATGTAATGGAGTTATTAGTCGAACAAATGTTTTAATAAATTTTCATCCAATTTTCATTAGCCGTTGTAATAAATACAGCACTCGATAGTGTGTGTGAGAGAGGGAGAAAGAGAGAGAGCGAGAGATAGAGTGGTCGTAATGATGATTAATATTACACTTTTGCTGTTTAGCGATCGAGAAACACATGAATTGCATGAATTGTATGCATATATTTCTAATTATTGTTTCATTTCATCCAAACTTCAGGACTGAGCCCTACAAACAGACAGCAAAGCCAGGCATAGAGTCGTAGTGTATGATCCCATTGGGATTTAGTATGTGCTCATCAGTTACACAACACAACTCCATTCCCATCACATATATTTAGGTACGGATCAAATAAATGACTTTTTATTTGTATATATATTTTGTCCCCTATTTTTACTGATCAAAAAGACTCGCAATTTTAGACACAAAAACTTTAAATTTCTTATTGCTTTTTGTGTTTTCAATCAGTTATTTGGGAGTATTTTGCGTATAATTTAATTATTTTCTGTTATAAAGATTTACAGTTATATAAAAGAGTGGAGAGAAAAATCATTTCAAATCAATTGCTGTTTAACACTGAAGAATACATTCATATAATTCTTTCACTTGTATTCAACAATAATATACATTTGAATTGCCATTACTTTCACTGCTATCCATTCCTACTGCTCTTTTAATGTATTATTTTTTTGTATTTCATATATATTTATGCGAAAGGATTAAAGTCTGATAACAAAAAAACAGTCAAATAAAGGGAGAGAGAGAGAGAGAGAGAGAGAGAGAAAGGCAGGATCTGGTGGTGTTTGTATGGAGTGTTGCCATTTCTGGTGCATTTGAGTTACACTCGCATTATTACATTCATTACTATAAGTGATTCACATCTCGAATACTTTGTCTTGATTTGCGTTATTGTATTTGAGTCCTCACTCCACACACAACCCGAATGAGAGCACAGACAGAGCACAGGCACAGCACTGGTAGAGCAGAGGCACACATATTCTGGTTATATGTGCTTTTGTAACCACTGCTCCGACAATACCCCCGATATTAGATTGTTGTTAGAGTTCATGATTTTTTAATTTTTATAGTCTCGTCATTCAATACTACACTCTATTGGATGGTTAGACTCTAACCAAACATTTTTCACACTCTATTCTCTTCTCTCATTCTCATCAACGTTAACATCACTAACACTTTGTTATGCATTCAATGTACTGCTATTTGCATGGGTTTAAAGCTTATGCTTTATCCTTATTTTTACCATATCTCTCCCTCTCCCCTCTCCCTCACACACACACTCTTACAGTGCTCTCAATCTGAACCGATTCACTGCTAACTCTTTAAGATTTTTAATATCATAACAGAAAAGAAACGCCTTTTATATGACACTAAAGATATTGGATTTAGCTTTGGATGTGTTATGTGTTGCCATTGCATCTGTACTAACATTTACAACTAAATGTTAAGTTCATATCAATAGTTATAGGAATAACTCATTTTGCATTAGTATTAGTTTTGGTGAACCCCTGCCGAACATAAGGCTCATATATATTCAATATATTGTTTGCTTTTTATGTATATCTGCATAAAAGTTACACAAAGATAGTCAACCATTTTTCCAGTAAAAGCATATAATAATCGTATGGATTCCAGAATTTAAACTAATAATTCTCAATATATGTCAAACAATAGTACGATATATTCCTTAACTGTAAGAATATATGCATATTATTATTGTTTAGTTCATAAATATATTGCCATCAAATGCTAGCGAAAGGCATACAAAAGAGAGTAAAGTATAGTATTTTTTGCAGTTATTAGTAATCAGTCCATCGCTCAAACGTTTTATTAGTTTCCTAATATCTATACTAGTTTTATATATGAAATCCATAATAATATAATAATAAATTAAGATATATTAGAAATATAATGCATCACAATTTGGTGAACTACTGGTGAAACTACTGGTGCCCATTACACCCAAATAGAGCCTATTATTGTCCATTTATTAGCGCACCAAACAATTTGCTCGTTGTATACAACCAAATGGGAAAAACGCTTAAATCTAATTTATTGTTCATTTCAAAATCAACAATATTCCCGACAATACCAATACTAAACAGTCTAATATTCACTAAATATAAATAATTTTTGTGCTAAAACCCAACTCTTTCTTCAAATATGTGCTTTTATACAATAACTGGACATTTAAACCAAATACAAATAATCAATAAATAAAAAAAATACATTAAAAAAATACTAGAATTCCTTATCGTATGTGATGTTTATTTTTGATTTTACTCATAAAAACTAATGAATACTTTGTTCACAATTTTCATGATAATAAACAAAGTATTAAAATATTAATATATTTTAGAAATTTAATGTAAATTCGTTCATAAATTATTCATTAATAGTGAGTATTCAGTAATTATTAAAAGCTGAGGTATTTCTTATTTAATAAATGTGAACATTGAAGTGAAACCATTTGTGTATAATATTTCCGTAACCATTCCCTCCGTTCCCTTATTTTATGCATTTTTCTAATGAAAATCGAAATATTTGGCTATAATATGAACGGCCACTCCTTTAACCAATTCTCGGACGTCCCAAATAAGCCCATATTGTAGTGACTTATAATTCATGACTATAAAACATTTAAAATACATTAGCTTTGGTTTTTAGATATAAATTTTGGCTAATTTTCTAATTTTTAATTAATTATAATTACGATGGGTTTGAATAAAATTTGAAAACTAATTAATAGATATATCAGAGTTGTTTGAAACCTAAAATTATTGTTTCACATATAATTTATGTACAAATAATTCATACGCTATTACGTTATGAATTTAGTATTTCATAAATTCATAAATGTATTGATTTTGTAAAGACGTTATGAAAAGTTTAAAGCATTTCGTCGTAAGTCTATTCTAAGAACTATCATATGATTAAAGAAATACTAATCCTATTTTCCAGTCAAGACATTATTCATTCATTTATAATTAAGACTACAATTTGTATGAGTTGAAAATAAGCATAAAAAGGAAATTTAAATTTTAAACTTATATTACATATAAGAATAGAAAGAAATATATAAATTAATAATTGTTTAGATTGAAAGTAAATGTCTTCTCCGTAAAAATATTCAATAATATATATATTATTTGCCATTTTAAACCATAACTTAAATTTTTAGGTATAGTCTTACATAAATCAACGAATTATTAAATTACTACAACTTTACCATTGATAACCACTAATACAGACTTACAAACAAAGTAACCACACTTTTTTGTGAAATATACAAATTTATATTTGTTTTCTATTTGTGTAAATAATTAAGTATATTTTTGTAATGCTTTACTGATGCTTACAAATGTACATTATCTGTAGATTACCAATCATTCTCTCTCTCTCTCTCTCTCCCCCTCCCTCTCCTCTCAAACACATACAATAGTTATGAATTGAAAGTTGTTTTCATTGCTAGCAATTTGCTCTCAAAGCGCTAATATTTTAATTTAGAGTTCATTGTTGTTGATGTAAAATACATGACATGTTAATTTTGGTGCCTTTCCTTTTGCAACACTCTTAATATTCTCATCTTTCTCTCTCTTCTCCTACTCATCATCCCTGCAATGCTTTACTCCTTTGCACTTATGATGGATTGTTTGTATACCACAGTGTGTTCACTAGTCTAACAAATTAGTGCTGGGAATTTGCAATACTAGACCCACAATATAACAGTCACTCACTTACAGATCATGTGTACGTTAAAAAATATAACACTTTTTTGTTCGTATCGTTTAATATGATTGTTACACAAACGTTGAATCACTCTTTCCCAGCACTCAAGTAATATTTCAAATAATCAAAAAGTTTTGACACAATTTGTTGTATTATATTTTTAATTTTATTTATACGTATAAAATAAATATATCAAATTTTTGAACAAATTGTGAAATTAGTTTTGTTTTGTAATTTTAGCAAAAAATAGAAATATTTGAACGTTTAATCTGTCAGGTGTTTGTTTCGTCCCAATACTTTCATCTAAGAGTCTCTGTTTTTCTCCCTGTGTTCACTCACTGTTGCCATTTATGCTCACAATATTGCCACTACTTCATCTCTCTCTCTCTCTCTCTCTCTCTATTTGACTGTTTTTTTGTTATCAGACTTTAATCCTTTCGCATAAATATATATGAAATACAAATTCTCTCTCTCTCTCTCTATCAATAGTATTTTGATGGCAAAGGATATGATATATAAAATACAAACAAAAAAAGAATATACATGTGATAGACTGACTACAAGTTGTGTTAGAGTTGGAAAATATGGCAAAAGTGCAAAACTCTATGAATTGAAATGAAATAGACGTTTATATAGTGTTGTACTGAATGTACAGATAAATTGAATGACGCGTAAGAATGTTGAGCTCAACACAAGAATAAATCTCTCTCTCTCTCTCTCTCTCTCTACACGTCTGCTTTTTCTATTCAAATATATAGAGAGTTTAGTAAAACATCACTTTATACAATCCCTGCTTCTCTCTCTCTCTCTCTCTCTCTCTCTCTATCAATAGTATTTTGATGGCAAAGGATATGATATATAAAATACAAACAAAAAAAGAATATACATGTGATAGACTGACTACAAGTTGTGTTAGAGTTGGAAAATATGGCAATAAAATCTATTGTAAGAGAGAAACGCTTTTCGATAAATAGTTTGCATCAATCGTTTTGGCCATTCAATTCTCTCTCTCTCTCTCTCTCTCTCTCTCTCCCATTCTTTACATATCTTGATCGACACACAAATGTCTCAACACTTATATATCAATAAAATATTTTTATCAAATTTCTAAACATATAAAATAAAATTCTTAGTTTTTATACTCGTCTCTCATTTTTGCACTTTTCTGGTATAATATTTTTGTGTAACACATAAATATCAATGGATTGCCATTTCATGAATACAACATTAAAACTTTTCTCTAAACAACACCTTTAAATACGATATCAATAAAATTAATATTCAAATGAACAACAAAATGCATTTCTCAGTTAATTTTAAAACACGTATTTGATATAAATTATACCGTGTTTTAAAATTGTTCACTAATTAATTCATTTTTGATCAGATTTGTTGCAATTATACTGCATATAAGTTTTCATAAGACTCCTTATCTTTTCACTATTCATTCTCTTTATTGCATTTCTTTTAATTTTTCTATAAAATGTAAAATAAAAATTGATTACAAATCATAAGGATTTCCAATTCCAGTATTTCTTCTCTAAATACAACATTTAAAAACATTAAGCTTTCTCTTAAAAACGATTGATGTATTTCTAGAAGTAATTATAATTAATACAAATCAAAAGATATTTGACATATATTTAAGACTTTAAAAAAGATTGTGATCGAGATTTACAGAGAGAGAAAGAGAGAGAGAGAGAGAGAGAGAGAGATTTATTCTTGTGTTGAGCTCAACATTCTTACGCGTCATTCAATTTATCTGTACATTAAGCAAAATAATATATCAATTTGACTGTTAATTCAAAGAAAAGAGAAAAATGCATTTTAAAACAATCTGTTTGACACGAGAGAGAGAGAGAGAGAGAGAGAGAGAGATTGGGAAATAAATCAACAGTTATATGAAATAAAAGTAAGCAAAACTATGTGTACGTGTTTATAGTGTTTATATAATGTTGGATCTGATGACAGCGGGAGGTGTTGTGGCCCACCAAAGGTCGTGTCTCAATAGGGATCCAAAGGAGGCACAGCTATCACAAGGTATTCATTTAGTATTTTTAATATTCGAGTTAAACACCAGTGAAATACTCGGCATTTAAAATATATTCTCAACAAATATTTGGGATTAATATTTAAACATAAAACATATCAAACATATTATTGGTTATAGAAATGAATTTTCAATACACAGTTGTTAACAGTTCTGAATAACAAAAACATCTCTCAATAAAAACAGTTAAGCAATAAAGAAGTGCCAAATGTATGGCATATCAAACACCAAAAATAACCCAACAGTACGACACAATTGAAGGGTAAAAACTATTGACAACTTTATATTTTCAGTGTTTGTATTAAACATTTAAAAACATATCCACAGACTATGGAAGCCTTTTGATGTCAAAAAATGTTTTATCTCTTCAAATACTGTCTGTAAAAAATTATAAATACTTTTTTCATATCATATGCGAAAAGAACTGGTAATGCATTTCAAAAAATTTGTTGAAAACTCAGTTAAATCTCTTTTATAGAAACAAAATAATGCTTATTAAACATATCAGAGGAATAAATAAATTTGTTTAAAAAATATATAAGACTTGTTTCCCTCAAAACCAAATGTCAGTAGTTTTGTATTAATAGGAGAAAACAAGATAAGTATTAATACTGAATGCGTGTGCAATGGATGAGTGGAGACTATAAGCAAAACTGATGGCATAGAAAATCAGGTAATCCACACAAAATACCGATATATTATTGAATACATTCTGTGTTGAGAGCATTGTATCCATAAGAGTATTGGTTGAGCTGTCATAGTGTCAGTGCTATGCTATTCATAGTAATGGTATTCTCAAGTCATATATCACAATATGTGGCCAAACAATCGATCATCAGTTTTAGACCCAAATCATATAAAAATCTTATGTCTAATGCATTGAATAGTGTTGTTGTAGTTGTCTATCGAAATCTATTATATAATGTTTAGCTTATAATAAGTCAAATGTTGGGTCGCGAGGAGTAGTGGCGGAGAAGAAGCAGTAATTGAATGAATTGAATGAGTTGTTGAATGGGATGACAGACACCACCTGCCGTCGCACAGGCGAACACAGCCAACACATCCAACACATTCAATGCCAGTCCAATGCCAATGCATATCATTTAAACAGTTAAACATATACTCTATTATGTCATTCTCATTGAAAATACATCCAAAACTGCACCACTATTACAGCGCCTAATATCGGGCATCACTTATCGATTTTTAGCAATATATGCGTCAATTCAATACAAATACAAATACTTTTCTCACTCAACGCGTTTGCCCTCATCT